AGGAGGTTGTAGCCAGGTGGGGTTTGGCTGATTCTCCCAGGCAGCAAGTGAGAGGACAAGAGGACATAGTCTCAAGCTGCTCCAGGGGAGGTTTAGGTTGGACACTGGGAGGAATTTCTTCACAAAAAGAATGATTAGACATTGAAATAGACTGGCCAGGGAGGTAGTGGAATCATCATCCCTGGAGGTCTTTAAAAAAAAAAAAAAACAACACCTGGACATGGCACTCCGGGCCATGGTCTAGTTGACATGGTGGTGTTTGGTTGTAGGTTGGACTCGATGATCTCAGAGGCCTTTTCCAATATAATTAATTCGGTGATTCTGTGACTTACAAAATCCCTTTCCTGCAGCAGCTTTCCGTGCAAGTTGCAAAGCCGCTCAACCACTTGGTATAGAAAATTATTTTTTAGAAGCATTTTACTAGCTATCTTCGTATGTCATTACAGTAAAGACACAGATATTGACCAAAAGCACTTTTAAATTTGAAACTAAAGACAATGTATGCAGCTGAAGACTGGAAGTCCTTCTGCAATTTCAGGAGTACAGCATTTCTTTTTCATAACGGATCAAGACATGAAGCTTAGCTTTTATTTTTGCATCATAACTGCATTAAGTTTATAGAAAGCAAATTATGTAGAATGTAGTGCTAAATCAAATTAGCGATGGATAAGAGACTGGAATAGTGTACCAATATCAGGCACTTAAACTGACACTGCATTCCTGTCTCATGTTAATTACTTGTTTCTTGGAAGGTAACACAGGTTATTCCAATTGTGTAGTGGTAAGTCATGGAGAAGGTGGAAAGATAGGCTGGTTGTATATATCAGTAAAACACTTTTACTGATATGAGTAACTCAAACACTGTTTGAGAGAGCAGAGTAGGTTTTTCATTTCTGTTTCTTAAGTAAAACCAAGCAGACCAAAAGGATCACTTAGCTATTTGTAATTTGAACCTCCATCAGTCCTTCTGAGGAAGATTTGTCAACTATCTGTTTCTCTGTGGGAATTTCAGGCAAGTTTTCAAATATGGAGGTCCTGTTTGTTTAGTGTAGGCTGCTGACATCACCTAAAGTCCCCTTTGCATTTTTTACAGATCTTTTGGAAGGGTGGCCTTAATCAACATTTTCCCTAATTCCTCTTATGAGCAGCATGCTTTTTGTCAACTGGATACTGTCTTTCATCTGAAAGATAGCTTTCTTTGCTGGCAATGGTTCTTTATCTCTCTCTCTCTCTCTAGTGCTTTTGAAGTATATTGGGATGCCCAGCATGGAAGTGAAAGCACAGAATATTTTTAGCAGTAAAATGCTGTGCTTGGAGGTATCTGGTTTAGTGAGGAGAAGCAGTCCATCAGAATTGCTGCTGGTTCCCAAAGCCCTTGTTTTAGCATGCCTTGGTCCCTCTGGCTGCTTTCCAGGCCCCGGCTGCCTGGCTCTGGGTCGTGCATCACCTTCTCAGTTTCCTCCAGGGGACTGTGGGAGGTGTGGGAGGTCTGTGGGAGCTGCTGCTCCTGTCCCAGTGCAGCTCTGCAGGTTTGCAGCTGCTTCAGCAAGAGGCAGCCAGTGCTTCTGTGTGCCCCGGAGCAGGAGAACCAGAGATCGATGTCCGCTGGCTCCCCCATCTCAGGCACCATCACCAGCCCTGTATCCAGCTCCAGGAGCAACTCACGATGTTCCAAGTGCAGCACATACCGAATACTCCCTCATTTTACACTTTCCCCTAATTAGTCAGCTGTTTACCGTGCAGGGAAATGAAGCCGCGGATCTGAGGGCGAGGGTGGTGTGTTTGCTTTCTGGCCAAGCAGGGCCAAATCCAGGCGATGCAGAGGAAACAGAGAGCTGCTTTAAAGGTTAATCGCATTTCAAAAATAGAGGGAGGGAGATGCATTACAATGCTTCATTGGAAAAATGTCAAAAGCCATTAGCTGCTGGCTGAAATATATGAAAGGGAGCGGCACTAACTCTGCTCTTCTTTTTGCGTGGAGGTGAAACGAGGCATTTCACCATTTACCTTTGGGAATTAAGATGCAACATGTTTTAAAGGTCAGTTCCTTTGTTATAGGGATTTTCAGAAGAAACAGGAAATTAAATTTGTTTTCCTTTGCACATAATCTCTCTCCTTTAGGTATGGCATGAATGTTGATAAATATATGTACATATGTATGTCGTGCATTAAACAGCTCTGTATTTCACATGCACAACTTTCTTTTTCAATGTGCTACATACATAATGTCCATGTTCCAGGAATAGCATGCCTGGAATAGTATCACTTGCCAATTAAAACAGGTCGATCAGGCATATTCATACATTCCAGCCTCCTTACGAGTTTCAACCCCTTCTATTTTTGACTCGCCAGAGGATATTTCTTTCTTATCTTCCACCTCCCCAAAATACGTACCTTGAAAAACTGAAAGAGCAAGATTTCCCTTTTGGACCTGAATGTATTTCTCTAGAGATAAAACTTGTCTGGCTTAAAAATCCCAATGAATATAAATTCCTACCGGACTAAAAATAATTTTTTTTTTCTTTGCAAATAGCAAAGTACCTAGCCTTTCAGAAGAGACAGTCAGGGTTTAAAGCTGACTGTGAGAAGGATCTACATACTGGTTTTCTAAATTATGACAAATACGTTTGATATAGAAAATGGGTTTTATCCTTAAAGGCTCCTCTGCTCCTTTTTGAGGTGACTTGCATATTGCAGAGCTCCATAATAAAATATCCCTTGTGCTGCCTGAGCACGTATTTCATCAGCCCCACTGGCTCAGCTTGCAATAGGGATGGGATTTCGTTTGGGTATGGGCATATGTCAACCCCTCTGTCAAATTAGAGAGGTTATGTGATGCAAACTCACACTGCCTTGTGCCAGCTGCAGGAGGTGGACAACAGCCCACGCAGTGAAAGTGCCAGCTGGCCCCCACAGATACTCTTATGAACACAGTATTTTAAAGCGGATTCTGAGATCTCTTGTGCCACTAAACCCTAGCTTAAAAATGTCTGCCTTTTCTTAAGCAAGGCCATCCAGTCCAGCTAAGCTAAGCCAAGCCTCCTTAAGCAGGCATGGTATTTTATAAACAATGTTTCTTGAGGAACAGTGATTACCCATACATCTTAATAACGTGGCAGGTGTTGGAGCATCTCCAGCAGCTTTCAGAGACTAAATACGACAAATAAATATCACAGGTGATGAAGCCAGAGAGCAGCATGCTGGAGCTGAGGGATGCTCTCAGTGCCCCATCAGGATGAGAGCCAGGAAGGGTTCCCAGGCTCCAGCTCAGTGCAATATTTCAGTATGTGCTCACCTTTAAGGATGAAGTGTTTTCCCTGCTAAAGCAAAAAGGGACAGCTAATAAATTTAAGTCTTCTGTCATGTGTATGTGTTCCTACTTCCACAGAACGGTGTGGGTAATCCTTGATAATCTGTATCCACAGTGGTCCTATACTGAAGGGATTCCTTTGTAAACCAAACTCTGAGAGTAATGGTTTATACTTATCTGCCTTTGTTTAATGTAAATAATTTGAAATTTAGAACAAGACCCAACCAGCTATAAAGTACAGAGGAAGAGCAGAAATCATACCAGAGATTTTACTGTTGGAGGGTTACTGCAGAGTAACAATACAGAGCATGAAACACAGCTAAGTGAAATAATTTCTAACAATTAACAAGTCAGCAAAGGAAAAATTTACTGCAGATAACATTGCTATTTATAATTATCCATTGCAATTGTTAATGACTTCTTTGAGAGGATTTCTGTCGTAAATCCCTCAAGAGAGTAGCACTGAACAGTTCAGTGTTGGTACCCGCTTACCTTCCTCCTTTGAGAGCCAACGGGACAATGTTGACATCTACTTGCTGCTTTATTTTTTCAGTGAAAGCGTAGTTTCCTTCAGTTTGAAGCTTCCTTTTTTTTTTTAATTAATGTGATTGTCTTTGACTTTCCCAGCTTTGTCTGTTGGACTGTCTCTTTTGCTCTGCATTTGGTCACACCATCAGTTTGTCCTCAGGCACAGTGACCCTTGTTGTGTGTGTGGTATTATCTTTGTTTTCTTGTTGATATATGTAACAACGAAGCCAATTCATCCCAGTGTTTACAATTGATGTATTTTAATCTCAGATTGAGTGATTCACGTTTTTTCTCAGTTTTTAGGGTGACTAATAATTAATGTAATTGTCTTCAGACGTGAGTCTCTGCACCCACCCAGGACTATTTCTGTAGCAAGGTTGAGTTGGTTAAGGCACAGTTGTACAAATCTCTGTTAAAATTAAAATTGTCCTTATCTCTAAAAGGAAAAAAATCCAGGAGATTGCTGGCTGGTCTTTGCAGGCAGTGATTGTGGCCTTTTCCTTTGGCAAAGCACAGCGGTGAAATCTGTTCCACCCCCCTGAAGCTGGAGCAATGAGGCCGTGTCTTCATATGTGTATTCATCTTCTCTCAAGATGAGGTTGATAGTCTGACAGATACTAGGTGGCTCAAACACTGCAAGAGGACAGTGGTTTTTTTTGTCAGTCAACAACAGTTTTGGAGGCCAAGGCTTGTGAAGGCACGTAGTGAGTGGGATTCTTCAAGAATAATTGTCCTTTGTGCAAGAAATAATTATATCTGTTGTGCTACAAGTGAGTGTAGTACAGACACCTGCATGTAACTATTTTCTGTGGAGCCTTTTTAAGGGAAGAGTTGGTGCAAAGGGGGAGCATCATTCTACGTTACAGCTAGATAATTATGTTACTTATGGTTTATCCGTGGTAAGCTAGATGTTTTCATTTTTGAGAATTTTGTAGGGATGCGGTTTTTTTTTTAAATCAGCTTTCAGGAAAAGCTGTGCTTTTTAAGAAAGCCTCCACTTTTAAAAAACATAAATGAGCGATAAAGCTAATTTCTCAACACCTGGTGACAAGCTGCCCAGCAGCTCTAGTGTGTCCTTGTCAAGCCAACAGCTTATTTTCAACTCTCTGCTGTGCATGTTGTCATAAAGGGTGCTTGATGAGACTCTTTTCTTTGTCTGTAGATGAGGTCTTGTCCGAAAACTTTCTGGACTACAAGAACCGCGGCGTCAATGGCTCTCACCGTGGTCAGATTATCTGGAAGATTGATGCCAGCTCTTACTTTGTGGAGCGTAAGTATTTTTCCAGTTCTGCTATGCTGTAATTCAGTCACTGTAGAAAGATAATTGAGCTGCTATATTTGTTTTCATGATGTTTTTATGCCCAATATGTCTCTTAGGAAAGGCCAAAAATGTTACCAAAATCTTCGAGTGTATTGAAAGAAACTGAATCACTTGGTGCAATAGAAACCCACAGTTTCTGCAAACAAATTTTGTGGGCATTGACTTATTTGCTTTTTTTTAAAAAAATACAGTTATGAATACGTGTTTTACTCAATTTGCTGCTATTTGAACTGTATCAGTTGCTGTGAGGAACTCAAGGGCATAAACTCAATCACACCAGCCTTTGATTGGAAAACTTCATGGTGTATTCGGCTTCCACCAGGTTCAGGTAGATTCAGAAGTAGAAAGAGTCAAGTTCTGATTATCCTCTGGACCAATAAAGGCATAACAGTATGTAGTTGCGGCAAGGTACATTAATTTCAAATTAATTGTTCCTCATTACATTAATATATCACCCAGGGCATCTGATGCAATGCAGTGTAACTCTTTTCCACCCCCTTAGCAATGAAAATGCAGAAACACTGAATTTGCTTCTGCAAAGAACTGTGAACGTTACACAGCGAGTTAACATTTCCAGCCATGACTGTCCCATGTCTCTGACCATTTGAGTCCTTCCTCTTTTCCAAGAGTTACCATGTGCTAGTGAATGGAATTCATGGTCATCTTTGGGGAATAGAAATAGGATACTCAAAAGACTGGACTGAGATCTGTAGGAAAATATCTGCAGTGAAAGAGCCACATGGATCCTTAAGGAGGAGTTAAGCATGGAGAAGAGTAGCAATTTCAGTTTTACAATTTTCCTGAATGTTTCCAATGATCTATCTGAGCCTCCTGGACAGACATTTGGTAAAAACTCCATACATTTGGTAAAAGCATTTATAAATTGCTTGACAGTCAGGCATATGTGCTTAAGACTGTCTGACTTTGAGGGCAATCAAAGGAATCTTTGATGTAATCTATATTCTGAAGGATTTGTAAAGGACATGAGTTATACTTGTTTTATCTACAACTTTGAGCTTGAGTATCTGGTATTAGCAAGGATGCGATATGTAAAACATTTTACAGATACTCAGTCCTAAAAACAGGTTATCTCTTTGCAGTGTGAGGCACTGCTGATGGTCTGTAATTCCTATTGTTAAGTAAATTGAGAATGTCGCTCTAAAGAATTCAGGGAGACGCTGAAATGTCTGCAGGACCTATGAGATGCTTAAATCCTGTTTTGAAAAATACATGGATAGGAAGCTTTTTATTATTGGGTTTAGTTATCATGGTTTGGGGGCAGAAATTCATTGCAGGATCTAACCTGTAAAACAGACTCTAATTTGCAGATGCTTTGAGCCGTGGTTACTAATCCTGGAGACTGATCATACTTTCTTTTAGCTGTTAAAGAAGTGTGGAAAGAAAATATAAAATCCCAGACTGGGTTTTGAGGAGACCTCAGTACCTTGGTTTATTGAGGAGGTTTACTAGGCTGCTAATAGCTTTCTTGCCTAATCCACAATAAAAAAGAGGAAGAGGCCGAGAGTGAGAAATGCTTAGGAGAAAGCCTCTTTAGGTGGGCCACTTTTCATTAAGGACTCAACTGCACAATGAATTATGTCAGCTTAATAGGTTGCCCCCATTAGCTGAGGCACAGTAGCTTTTGTTAATTGATTGCATGTACATTCTTCACTTGCCCTACTGTAAGAAAACGCAAATTAGCGTAACCATCCTTCATTGATGCTTCAAACTAAGTTGTACTACACCACAGTTGGGCAGCCCGTGCTCGATAAGTTGCTGCCTCTTGGTAATTTGTTACGCTGGCACCGTTGGGTTGTGAATGTCAGCCCTGAGATTGTGCCAGTGTGCTCATCAAGGACAAATCATTGCCCTGTCTGGAATTAAAACAGGAGAAAGTGAAGCAGGCAGTAGTAAATAACAGCACACGTGGATATTCTTAGAGCTACTTGACTACTGAAGTGGGAAGTTAAAGGGGTGAAGAGTGTTGATGTCAATTTTATATCTCTAGAGGCATGTTTGAGCATTCTCGCTCATTGTTAAGACTTATATATGAAAGCACACCGTTTTGCAGTTGATTAAATGTTATGTTAAAAGCTGCAGTGTCTGAAAACCTCGTGTATTTTCTATCCAAAGAGGATGGTGTAAACAATCTTCCTCCAGACTGTTATTTTTTGGACAGAGATTCATATCTTCCTTTTATGTTGCATAGCACACAATAGGGTGTGCAGGAATCAGAAAGACACTGGGCTTTAAAATCAAACTCAGATAAGAAATGTAGCTAAGATATGGTAATTTATTTTCAAGGTATCTGTGTTGTTTTCCCATGTATTTTTTTATAATTCCCTTAACTTGCTATTTACTGGAATATTGCTGATTATACCATTAATTCTCGATAAAACAGTTGCAAATGCAGCCCTTAATTTCTTCTTTTGCTTTTCCTGTAACTATTTGTACTTTGGTACCTCTTCACCACAGGAGTCAATATTGACTATTAGTCAACAACACAGAGCTTCAGAAAAGGTTGGGGTATACAGAGAGAATTTACACAGAGAATTTAAGTTTCTCAAGAACTTCAGGCATCCCATGCAGACTGGTGTGGTTCCTGGTCTTGAAATACGTAAGGGTTTAATAATTTTGGTGGTGCTATTGTGTGAGGATTATTATAGAGGGACCATGGGAATCATCCGACACAATTATCATGATAATTACTGGCCGAGACAGTCAGCCTAGAGGACCGCACTAAAAAGAAATTGTGCACATGCTGCTATGGGAAGAAGACGCTAGCAATGAGAAGTGCAGCAGGGGTGGAGAACACAAAGGAAAATGTGGAAAAAAAAAAAGTCAATCGTTTTCTGCCTTAATTGGCCTTCTTGTTCCTTCATAAAACTGAAATTCTGAAATTTCAGATGCTTCTGATTTGTTTAAGCTATACTTTCACAGCATTCTAAGCGGACTGCCCAGTTAGAGGCATTAAATATACCTTTTTTGGGTATATTTAAAATCTCACTAGGTTAAGAAAATGCTTTTTGTGAGGCAGGTCGATGACAATGCAAAATAGTTTTCTCTTTTTGAAGCACTCTTCTATGTTTTCTGGGGTATTTGGGCAAAATGTATGTTGCTTTTGAATTTGCTGATAGCCTGAATTGAGAGCATCTACAGGGCTTTATGTCTTTTTGAAACAAAGATCATTTCTTCACTCATACCCATACAGCATTTTCAGGTACCACAGATATTTAAAATTCGTGTTCGGTTCAGTGATCTACTTTCTCACCTTGGAAAGGACTAATATCTTTCCCAGAGAAGTCTATGCCTTTCTGCTTTGGGTATCATAAACTTGCAGCATAACGTTGCCAGATAGATACGTACTTGGTACGAGCCAGAGAGGGAATTGCTTCCAAATTACAGCACGAATGCCAGCAAAGCAGAACTCATCTCCTATTAATACTCAGCAAACAAAAAGCCGTAACAGCTGCAGGAGCAACGTGGCACTGCAGCCAGTTTTGCATTTCTGCAGAAGTCTGGCAATTTGGGTTTTTCTGACAGTCAGTGACAAACAGTAAACACCATGAGATGGTCAGGGTTTGTGGAGAGGAAGGAGGAGCGAAGAGAGGCTGGGTGCTTTGTGGGAAGGCTCGGAGAGCACTGCAGTGAAAGAACCAGCCTGCGGTGGGTTTTCCAGGAAGAGAAACGTGCTCTGCTCCGCTGCAACTTCTGGCACGCTTTTTGGCTTGTACAGCAGTACAGAGAAAGGGTATGCAGGAAGCTGTTTCTCACTGAGGTGTGGTGCAGCATTATCTTGTAAGCATAGCGTCAAACTAGCTTATCCTTACAATGCTGAGTAAGGTTTTGATGCTACTCAGAATTGCACTGAAGATAGCCAGATACCTGGGACCCCCCTTCATCTACTGGCCTCTGTGAGTGTTTTACCCTCTGACCACTTCCGAGGATGACCAGTCATCCGTGTGGCATTTTTGTGAAGAAACTTATGCAGCAGTTGCTTGTTTAAATTTGTTTCTGTTGCTGCTGCTGAATTTTTAATAACAAAGATAGATGATAGGCCTTGCAGGAGACAGAAACAGTACTTACTCTTATTTACTTACAGGGAAATAATGGTATAAAATAGGTACAACTCAAGTCAGAGATCTGACACATCCTGGTATATCTGCAGATAGAAGGCTCTAGGTCATGGTCAATATATGCCATATATGGGTGCATTTATGAAATAGGTACAGAAACGTTCCCAAACTGGCAATCAGCCCTTTCATCTGTGACTCTCTCTAGGAAACATATCTTTTGCATATCTTTAGGAGGCTGATGTAAGGCCTACTTTGTACTTTGAAAGTACAAATTATTGAAGGATGTTCTAGCCACCAATGTTTCCAAATTAATGAGACATAGTCATATCAACAAAAGCTGTAATGAAACTAGAGTATTTAGGAAGTTTTTCTGTTGACAAGTCCTGCCCACTAAAATAATTTCCTGTTTCCATTTTCATGGCTTCAGGGTCTCTCAAACCACATACTCTTCACTTCATGAAAGAATGTGCAAGAAGAGAAAGTACAGCTAAGTCTGTTGAAATCCTGATACACCTTTTAGTGCGACCTACAGTCATGCTGCGTGACTTTAACCTTTGTGAGTCCACAGATGGTAAAAACCAGAGCAACACAGAAGCATCTTTAACAGGCTGATTAGCAAAATGGTTAAAGGTGTTGGAGAAAAAGCAGATATGAAGCAATAAGAGAGACTTGTGCCCCAAAAGGTGCATCTACTGTTTGTCTCTCTCACAAGGAAGACATGCCATAGTTTTGGGGTTCTCTCTCTCATCCCCTTGCACATGTCTTAGTGTTATTGATGTTTTCTGGCTGTCTTCAATCCTACACAGAGTTTGTAAATTCCTCCTTCTTTTCCTCAACCTGTTACCTTTACAGTAGTTTAATACTCACACTTCA